TGCACTGCTGTTTCTTTGAAATCCCGTACTTTTGAAGTTCTTACTCTCGGTAGTAACAACATGGTGGACACACGGACTTAACGTTCATTTCTCTGCCACGTTTTCTTGGGCTAAGGTTTTAGAAGAAAAATATTCTCTCGCATGTATTTTTAAGTTCCATGAACGCAATTTTGAGGCACATGTAAGTTATTAAAATTATTTTATCAAAATTCAACATTTTAGTCTTCTACTTAGAGTGTAAAGATCTCATCGCCCTGATGATGGAGGCAGCAAGGACCTCTGGAACGTTGTAACGCTTTGCTGTCTGCCGTATTACACGGCGATACAACCCAGAAGACAGCTATGGTCTCTGGTATATATTTTGAGTATCCTATGTTTGATGTTAAATTTTGAAAAATATGATTTATTTACTTGAAATGCACTTATGAAATAAAACAATTTTGGTACTTTGCCATTTTATCCTTATTTTGTCGTTTATGGACTGGAATAAAGTTAAGAAATTGCAACGGGGTTGGAACCGACGTAACCTTTCCGAGGTTTTAGATTTTCTATGGGTAATGGCCGAGTAATGGGCGTTTACGTTTATGCTGATTTCATTTGCATTCGCGTCTTAAAAAAAGATGTGATAATCGGATTCTCTTACACGAATATCTCTAGATATTAGATGCTACTGCATAAGACACTTGCTTCTGTTCGCATCGTCTAACTTGATAATCTATTTCAATATTGCCGTGTCGAGCTGGACGTAATAAATTTGAACTCGAATAGTTCGAACCCGATTACGCCAAAGTGTCAAGGAAGGTAAAAGCAATCCAGTTCGCACTTTGCGACCTGTGACATCCAAGGTGCGTGGCGAACGTTCCAAACTCTCTCACTCAGTTGGACACGGGAATTGTTCCCACACATTCCATGATTCTGTCAGATATTACAGGCGGTCTACCACAATTGCGCGTTATGTCAAGGTGGATCATCGCATGGATTGCTGAGTTTTTTCATGATTTCCATATTATTCATGCACGTAGTTTTTAAATTTTATAGAAATGGAAATTTTAGTCGGAAAATCCCGATGAAAGAGGCTGATTAATTTACCTGAACGAAGATTGACATAATATTAAGATGAATCTCAAAGTAATTTTAAATATAACCCTGGTTCAGTGGAGGTCACTTATAAACGTGGTAATGAACCTTCGGTTTTCCATAAAATTCATGACTCGTCAGGTTTACTTATTAGTGATGCATGACGTTTAATATGGAACACTTTTCAGAGAATAAATGGCATTTAAAACAGAAATATGTGCATCGGTGTTACTGTTAGCGGAAAGACAGATTTAAATAAACAGGCATAAATGTGGAGGTCATTGCAATTTCAGAATGTTCATAAACATATGTCACATTTAATTTCTCGACGTATTTAGTAACAACATACCAGGAGTATCGGTTTCATAGTGGCGAGTGTACGGAAGGAATTTCTGTGATGGGTGCTGTCAGTGTTGGAACACGGCACGTCACTACCAACCATTTATCGATTGTGACACTCTATGAATCTGAAACCAAAGTTCTGATTGATACGTACGGGAAGCTGATACATTGTCAAATATCTTTGCACAATTTCAATTACCATTGCAAATAAATATTAGATATTTATACCGTGTTTATTATTTTGAAAACTTTTTGTTTTCGTGTCTTTTAGTCAAGAGTATCATTAGTTATTAGTGTAGACCTGCCAGATTGGTAATAAAATAATAAATAAAATAAGTAATAATAATAATATATTTACTCTGCGTTCCGACAGGATGATCACTCGTACAAAGAGACCTATAAAATGTCAAAGTAGCTTAAACAATGCCGATTCAAGAGGCAGCCAATGTCCTTGAAGGACAAAATATTAGTCGGTTGGAATAACCTAATAATTTAAGTGTGCAGTTGTGTAATAAAAATATGGGATTTTTTTTTGTCTTTTGCAGAGTCTAACGCAGGAAAAATCAGTCAAATCAAATTACGTTTCTTTGTGTAACCTAACAGAGAATATTTTATAAAAGTAATTTATATTAATTGTCTGATTGTGTCATGACAAAAGCTAGTTGAAATGGTGTAGAATATGTGATTTAAATAGGCCTAGGGCTATATGTTCTTATAATATGAGGTACATTGTGTGAATGAGTGAAATAGCTGAAACAATGTAGGCCTGTAACATATTAAAAGTACATAATATTATATTTATTTTTCGTGTCATATAAAAGTCTAACACGCCCGGGGGATATCATTAAAGCAATTAGAGCGAAAGTTCCAGGGAAATGGAAAAAAATTGTGCAGAGGAGTTTTGTAATTTTAATTATTTAACATATATTACGGCGGAAAAATCAAGGAAGAAGATTTGGGCTGGACACGAGGAACGTATAAAAATACGCACAGCAGTTAGATGGAAAGCAAATATCTCGTGCAGGATTCAAATTAATTTTTGTTTAATTGCAGATTATGTTTTAAAATTGTATTTTACGTGTTGCAAAAGGTAATAATTGTAATGAATCAGCAGAATTGACAAGCGGTCAGATGAAAATATGTATATATTTTTTTTTAATTACGTTGAGATTGTTTCTTTGCTTATGACAATAAAAATACTCGTACAGAAGCGAGCTGACTGGTTTGCTCTGCGTGTAAGCTCGGTCTTTGTTTACCCCGATTGGCGGACTCGCTCAATAAAACACTCATTTTACAGCGCAATTCATAATTTCACTGTCTGTTCGATTACTCAGTAGCCAGAAATTCCTGGACGCTTATTATTCTGGATTATTCAACTTCAGGTCACTGGGAACTTAAAAAAAATCCAGTAAAATTGAAAATGGAAACAGCACGTTTATACTCATCATTTTAAAACTTCAGGGCAGAACATTGTGTCTTATTGCGAAATATTTACTTTTATTTTGAAAATAAGTTGTGTCCAGAAGGCAATGTATACCATAAAATGTGATACTTCAACGTTACAAATGAAAGTTTCGTAAGCCGAATCTTCAACAATTTATTCGATGATTTCGGGGAAAGTTTTTGGGAAATGAAAATGAAAGCTTTCCAGAATCTTGTTATAATTTTGAACCCTTTCATTTACATATGCTTTGCAAAATATTAATATAATTACACTTTCACAGAAATAAAACAAAAATGATTATTATATTAAAGTCGTACATGAATAATAGAATATCATATTAAAGTCGTACATGAATAATAGAAAGGCTTAGGTCAAATTTAAGTTTATGACGTAGAAGGTTTGTTCTTTACGTTGTTAAAATGCGCCATGCGATAGTTCCCGCGCTCAGTTTCCGGTTATAGTGCATCGGGCAATGTCAGCAGTAGAATCTAACCGGGCCGGCGCGGCGCTTAGGGAGCTCGCTGTTCCCAGGGTTGTGTGCGGGAAGGGGACGGTGTTTCCGACCGAGAGGCGTGGGAGGCGGGGGTGGATTGGACTCAGTCTTAGTTGAAACTCGGACCGCGAAACATCAGGCCACAGCTCTGTTACAGCAGCATGAGTCATTGGGTGCGGCGGTGTTCTGCAGATAAATGAGCAACATTTTAATCACGTGGGCAGTGTTATTGTGGGGTGTTCTCTCACCTTCTGGAGTGTGTACAGGTCAACGTAGAACTCTGGCACGTTACAATTTAATTCAAACAATGTTCAGAACACAATTGGAATTATAATGAAAGTTTTTAACGAAACATTTAAGATCTGTTTACATTTTAACAGCAGCGAAGTGTTCGTAGATTGTGAAGAGGTTCTGTGTACTTGGAAGTAACTCAAAGTTGCATTAAGGAAGATAACTCATGGTGAATTATTCTTGTTTTCAGTACACAGGAATTATTGGAAAGAAACATTTTATTCAAACCGTTACAGTTAATAAACTGAGTTAATCTGTCCAAGAAAGGACATTTTTAAATCGGCGTGACATTAATATCAACTGCATAACGACATTGCATCAGTATGTGAAGTTATTCGTATGGGTGTGTTTAATATTTAGTTTACTGCAGAATATGCCTATTATTACGTGAAACGTAATTATTTATAGACACGTAACAACGTTTCTCGAGTTATTTGTGCAAAGTGTTTGTGAGTTAGGGTGTGTAAGTGAGCGTGAACAATCAAAATTCTAAAAGCAGAACAAAGTGGGAGGCGAAGTTCTCAGATCTTTCCGAACTTAGTGAGTACGGAATTCGATGTCGAGTTGTATCTCGACTAAAGTTAAAAAATACACCCCACTTTCGTTTTGCGGATTTACACCGCATAAAATCAAACTTAACACTTTATAAATTACACATATCAATACACTTTTTGGAAATGGTGTTATTAACCTTCGATAACACTCTTTTGTAGCAACATGGCGTGATTTATTTGTGAGTGTGACTAGTTCTGTGGTAACTTTCTACAGTGACTAATTTTCATGGACACTCCCTGTAGCTGAAGTAACCCAAATGGATGTCACATCGTACAGGACGTCATATTAAGGTACGTAATTCAAATTTACGATTCAGATATGAAAAAGAGAAGAGTTAATAAAAGTACCAATGATAAACAAAGAGTGAAAAATTTGTACCACCAGGCAGATTGATGTAGTGGTAACTAACGGTCCAGGGTTCGAGTCAGAACGTAATCTTATTCAGAAGTCGGCTGCTTGACAGATATTTTTCGGTGTTTTAGTAGGAATTAAAATAGGTCCCAACCACTTCCTTAACAACTCATCGTTTACGACCGTATGTATCATTTGAGGTTATAAAAACACCCGCGGTCCTTTAAAAATCTAACAATGAATCACGTAAACGTGCATTAGTTCACCACAGAACACTGGCATGTACGCCATGGTTATTATATCTTGTAACGGAGCAACGGAACCATTTGTTTCAAGTTCAGTGGGCGATGTCACAGCGCTGATTTGCTTTCAGACAACGGAATTTATTTAATGAGAAATGGTAGGATGATTACTGAGTGAGGAGGGTAGTTTGAGCTTGTACGAAGCTACTTCTCAAGATTCAGTAGTATAAAAGCAGAGAGGATATTAAGAACGTGAGTAGATATCTATGCCAGTTTCACAAAAGTGGTTTGATGTATATTACGTAATTATAACGCGCCTCCATAAAGCGGAGTTATTTTTAAGAAAGTAATAGTGTCTCAGCTTATTAAGAAATAGCCTGTTTGTTAGAGAACTCGGAGGTTAGTCGCCTTATCCACAAGAAATGAGAAATTACTCCTGTTAGAGAACTCAAAGGGTAGTCACCTTATCCACAAGAAATGAGAAATTACTTGGAGCAGAATCCTTTGCATTCGGAAGATTCAGTGTTGAAATATACTGGACAACATCTGTTCCGACTCATGTTTAATTATTCATTAATATTCCTGCTATGGGGCCCTTTGTAGCCTCATATGCTGAAAAATTTGAACAAACCATAAGTAAAAAAAAAAAAATGTTTAGAGCCTAGTAGGGATTATATGTACCACCTAATTTAACAGTTTGTAATTCATTATTTTCGTATTTATGTTTCGTATAATTATTACTGTAAACACGGATTATCTCCTTAAACAACGTTAACCGGTTGAGCTCTGTAATGGTGAAGTGTTTTCTTTGCGGTACGGTCTGAATACTTATTATTTAGACGAGCTTTGTCTTCAAGGGGTTAAATGCGTTTTTATGTAGGAACTGAAAAGATGCTGGAAACGTCTCCAACATTTAGTGGAAACCCCCAATATTCCTTTCTCCTTTACAGCAGTTAGTGGTCTACTTGTACGTATTTAACTGTCATCAATATTTTGATCAGTGGAAACCCCCAATTTTCCTTTCTCCTTTACAGCATTTACGTATTTAACTGTCATCAATATTTTGCATTCAGACATTAACAAGCAGATAAATGTCTGACCGTAAGTTGCGTTAATGTTATTGGGTAGTAGTTAGTTTGAAAATTGTTTCGTGGGGTTGAAATAATCTAGCGATTTGTATTTAAAATTGTAATGTCCATGTCCTAATTATCAATCGACAATTTGGTATGTATCAGATACACATTAACGCCTCTTGTTAGCATACAACCGAAGTCGATTATTTGTTCTGACGTCTATTAATCTGTTAAATATATTGTATTGATTTTGTTATGATTTATATCAGTGACGAACAACGAATTCAAACGTTGCTGAATTTAATTTTCGTGTTTACTTTTAACGATATTAATTAAAGGTTAAACAATGTTCGACCCACATTTCACTATTTCATTTACTTAAGTTTCTAAATATTCCATTGGGGATTTGTTTAATGAATTGTTTTCAAATGTCATAGGTACACATCGTAATTTAACATTTCATTTGGATCAGTTAACAACGTGAACTGTGTCAGGTTAAGGCATTAATGGATTCTTCAGTAGCGCTTAAAATTGTTACTTTGATGAACGTCTGATTGAATAACATTTTATACTGGCTTCAGTCATCTCTTTCTGAAGCTTTCTGATAGCCCTCTGAGAACATACGAATGGCACTGACAGAGTTTTGAAAGCTTTGAAGGAACATGTAATGGGTTATTCAAAGCACACTTTTATAATATACCTCACGAATTCACATACAGCCAGAAATGACGAGCGTGTATATTTTTTTTGAGATTGATTACTTTCAGTTGTGAACCGGTCTTAAAATATGTATCCCAGTGGAGTAAAAGTATTTTACAAGTATATTCTTTCCTATTTTGCATACCTTGATGAAACTGACGTTTTATTGTAAATACAAATTTGTTATTTGTGGTCTAACTGCAGTACAAATATTATGTTGCGTAGAGTCAGAATAATATTGTTAAATTTTCAAAATATCTTATCGAAAATTGTTACAATAAATGTCGCAGATTTTTAAAAAGTTCTATATCTTATATCACAGGCAACGTTATGTACGTTGAGGTTTAATTACACTAAATATTTAAATTTGTACCTAAGAAAATAGGTTAAAATATCTGAAAACAATTAGTCTATTATGCTGTTTAGTTGAATGTTGTGACATATATGCTATACTAGAATCAGTGTTATAAAATATACAACATCCCGTGATATATAACATATTAAGAATAATATTTGTCAAATGAAAAATAATTTCGATGCACATCGATTTTGTATTTGTGAGAGGAACCACTTGAAGCATTTTTGTTTTTCTGATTTTGAATTAATCAAAAGATGATACAGAACTTCCGGATATTTGTTTATCCGTTTAGCTGTCTACAGACTTGAACTCTCCCGGAATTGTAAAATTCTTTCTCAAAACCGACGGAGAATGAAATTTTGCAGTAAGTGGAACGTGCGTGTTGGATGCAAAGAGGAATGTTTTGTCGTCATAGCAACTTGAAAACAAATACAAGACATTTCATATGTGTGCACTCACATAATTTAACCCTTTGAACCGTAAGCTCGTCTAAATAATATGAAAAATCCAGTTCGTACCCCCAAAGAAAACACAATACTTCTCCATTTTAAAGATGAAATTTTTAACGCTGTTTAAGAAATTAATCCAGGTTTACAGTGAAAATTATATGAAACCCATTAACACAAAACACAGCTTAACTGATTATTAACGGAGGTGGTACATTAAATTTTTAAATGAATCAGCTTATTTAAATAAAGACTTTTATATGCCAGTTGCAGTAGAAATTACTGCTGAATTTTCTATACGATATTTTTCTGAAATCGTTTATTTATTTCACTTCAACTCACGTGAGATAATAATATAAACGAGCATATAGATCCGTGACGTAGCTCAGGCAGTTAGTGTCCCGCTTTTCGTTTGGGAAGCCCGGGTTTGCTACCAGGGCGAGCCATGTGGGATCTGTGGTTAACAGAAATGTCACATGGACACGCTTTCCTCCGAGTTCGCTGGCTTTCCCTTGTCAGTATCATTCCACCGATGTTCCATATTGACTCTTTATTATCAGCGGGATGTACAATGTGCCCGTTAACAGACATAAGAGACATAATACAGTGATATTATTACTTTTTATTCCGGACGTGCCTTCTTCGAATTGTGGTCTGGTCAAAGATTTCTATCATCTGGTCTTGTACTCGTTCCGGGCTGCTGCCGATATAACACGTTTAAATGTGCCACGGAAGCTTAATGCTTATCCGTTTCCAGGTCACTGTTTATAATTATCTTCACATCTTACGTAATGCCACTTAAACGTATAAGCAGTATGGTATTGCTAATTAACTCCATAGGTAAAGGGCTTTTGAGAAGCTGATAGTCACTCTACTAGTCAGGAAATTCTTCTCTCGCTATGTGACCCGAAAGATTGTTACCATATTCACAAGAGACCACTATTAACCTTATATTGAACCATACGAATCCATTTCATATTCTCGTGTTTCTTGTGTTATTTTTCTCTTAAGGTAAATGTTAATATGCCTGTTATTGGCTTCTCGCTGTTGGCAAACACTTAAATAAATGAATTTGAATATAATCCTCATATTTGCACGAATGTGCCCCATGTAATCTTTTCCTCATCAAATTTTCAGACTAAAATTGTTTATAAATTTCTAATCTGTTTCATGAATAATTAATTAAACATGATTTAAAATAAATGTTCGAGATTGCACTTAATTTGTAGTTTACCGAAACAGAAACAATTTTTAGGGTAGTTACGTATTTTTTTTATCTTATGTGTGTCTTTAATAAGTTTTTATTCTTTTGATTTATTTAACCCATTTGTTGAAACTACAAACTCGTACCGTGCAGTGTATATAATGTTCTGATTACAACTACGAACATACTGAATCTATAAAGGATAAGAGATCTTTGTAAACTGTTAATCTTTAGTTCGTCCTTTGTTCTCAAAGAAAGAAAGGTAACAACAAAGACGATGCACGAAATGTGTATTGCTCTTTGACATTGCGTGATAAACCGTTATAGCACAGAATTTATTATTACGGGGGAATATAAGGCAGTCCGAATAAAAACACCAACTCTAATATAGACGGTTCTTTGAAAGTGTGTTTTACGAGAAAATGGAAAATGAACTTTACTCTGTTCGTTCTATACTTGTCTGCTTATTTTAGGTTCATGTTACACTTAGGCATCATCTACAATATTTTTAAATAGAGTAATGGCCCTACTCAGCCATCTTTTCTACTTTTCTTTGGGAATTATTACAACAAGCCTGTTCTTACCCATGTTCGCTAATTAGATAAAAGTGTTGACGAAAGTAGTCTTCATTTGTCTCACTGACCCTTTCTTATCCTCATTAACTAACTAACTAACTAACTAGATGGCTTACCGAAACCGAAGGTTCATCACCGAATTAACCAAAGCCCTCCACCGGACCCTGTCTCCTTCATCTCCTATCTCTGATAGATTCCGCCTGAGATTATCCTCCCATCTACGTCTAGATCTCCCAAGAGGTCTCTTCCCCTCAGGCTTCCCAAACAGTGAACCCAACCAATTAGGTGGCTTACGGAAACCGAAGGTTCATCACCGAATTAACCAAAGCCCTCCACCGGACC